GACTGCAGCTGTATTTTGGCGCCTTGTTTTTTTCCCCCTTAGATGCAGGATGGAGGTGAGTGAAGAATGGTTTGGCTGTCTGGAGCTTAGCATTCTATGCTCACTTGATACATGCAGCGCAGCAATCTGTTTTACCTCATTTCTGGGATTTTTTTAGTGATTCCTAAGGAGCAGTTAGAATTATTACCCCCTTCTTTTCTTAGGAATCAATAACCCCCAGGAAAAAAGACTTAATTCTTCAGGGATGAGTCTCAATACCTTTAAAGTGGTGTTCATTCTCTCCCCCTCTTCCTCCCCCACCTCAATTACAAGCAATTGGGTGGTAGTAATTAGCGATCTTAGAGAGAAACATCTGCTAGTAGACTTAAGCCAGTCAGTTTGTTTTTCATGAAAGAATGGTATTTCACAATTTTTCCAAGTTAATATTTTTCCTTTATTGTCTTTCCAATTTCAAATATTGTCCAGACGCATTTTTATAGTGTCTTAAGGTTATAGAAGTGAATACAAGACCATTAATAATGAACAAGAAAAAGAGAACATCATAAAGAAAACATATGCAGTATTTCAATTCATGAAACATTCTGTTAGGGAACATTGTTTTTGAGAGCATATGGTTATTCCCATGAGAAGCAATAAATACACTTTTTTTTTTCCCCCCAGTTGTGGATTCCCACAACAAGGGTACGTTTCTCTGTATATTCATCTATATAGAGCGTTCTCTTTGTCAGGACTTGTTATCTGAGTGGGGAGGTAAGTAAGTATTTTTGCACAGATGATATATTGTGCGTGGACCTATTTCTGATGGCCTAGGCTTTGGAAACACAAGTCTATTAATTCTCCACACTCCTTTGAGATAGCAATCTTGTCTGGTCTAGTTTAATATCATTGGCAGAGCTGAAAGGAAGTTCACATTGTGAATGTATCTGAACCTTGGCATGCGGCTCACTGGTGGATCTCTGTTTACAGGCTGCCAGTTTTAACTGTCCCAAGCAGACATTCTCCTCTTATTTATAAGTAGGTTCAGCATGTGTTTGTATCCTTCATGAAACTGAGCGCATGTCAATAGTCAAAACTAAGTATAGAAACAAGATGCCAAACACTTATCCTTCTCTTCTCAGACAAAACAGTCGTACTCCAGTATGTATTTTTAAATGTTCATTGGGTTTGGATAAGGCACATGAGGATATATGCACAGACACATTATTTGATCGCTTGTAAATATTATTTTAATACCTCCATATTCCTCTTTAAAGTTTCCTCATTTAGATTTTATTTTTCTTTGCTGAATGAAACTTGACATCAGGATGAGATCACCAAATTTCCCCATTTCATCTGAGCTCCAAAATGAGTAACTGATTTCAAAGGATAATTCCCTGGAGCAGCAAAGCCAATGGGTTCTTGCGATCAAAGGTCAGCGAAGCTGAAAGAGGATAATTTCTGGCATACAGTATTTAAACTCTCTCAAGGAGTGTACTGCAAGATGTATCCCCTCCTTCCCCAATAGCTGAACTCTTGTTTTTTGAGAAGACTAATTTGTCAGAGCACATTTTTTTCCTCTGTTACATAAATTATACATTAAAGCGAAAGCTTTCTATCTGAACGCACAAACTACATCCAGAAAGGTCACTAAACTTGCCAGTGGAAGGGCTATTCCTGAAACCAGAAGGTAACTCTGTGCCATTCCTCTCTGAAGCACCCTGTGGACTGGGGAACTCTGGTGCTCTCTGCACATGCCAGCAGCTTTCAGCACAGTGCAAGAGCACGTGGTGGGAGGGAGAGAAAATGCTCTGCAAGACACTTTGTTTTGACAGAAAAACCCAACAAAGAGTGTTGGGGCAGGGAAGAGTCACCTTGTGCAGGATCTGCTCCTCAGTATCTCAATCTAATGTTTGCCATGCCAATGTCATTTGGGATGCTGTCCCTTAACAGATAACAGACCACTGTGGAAGTCTTTTGGCATTACATACCTTCATACATTTAACAGTATATGTGATAACAGGGGTGGATTTTTTTTTCCAGTTGGTTGTCCACTGTTCCAACAAAGCTAGGAGTCATACCGGCCCAGCTTTCATTTATTTCACATTCCCTAGAGCGAGATTGTGAGGGATTGCAATAGCCCCTCATACAAATGTTTCTATCAGCTTAGTTAGAACTGTTCATGTGAGAAAGTGATGACTGGTACACATGAGCTGCTGAAAATCTAGGGGCATATTTAGTAGTTATGAAGAACCACTGTCAATATAACTGTCAATATAACTTGTTATGAAGGCCCATGTTATCTTTTCATTTCTTGTTGATTTTGGAAGGAAACAATGAGGCTGGACTAAGGTAGACAACTAAATATTGTATTTTGTTTTATGGGGGTCTTTTTGTGGCCTTAGCTTTGAACTGGCAGGAATATGGAGTTGTATTTATGGACAAAGTGGGTATAAAGCAAATGACCCTTCTTCAGATATATTTCAAAGTTCTGTATTGTAAGTAATATTTATCTTAATATGTGCCTTCATTATGATAAACACGATATAAAAACCTCTTAATAAACAGTGCCTGTTGGTCCGATAACACCAGATTAAAAGGACAAGGGAAGAAACTGCTGTGAATTGAGCTTTCTCTTCCTTCATCTGACCTTCCTGCTTAGCTTATGTTTGGTGTGGGGAATCCTAACATGGCTTGGAGTAGAAATCAAAGTGTATCAGTGTGTGAGTATGTGTATAATAAACTCCGTGTTTACTTGCATTTGTACAACGCAATTTACATGTGCGTGTTGGGAAGCTGGCGTTAGTATAACATCAAAACTGCAAATAAGTATTAAAGTCAAGAAATTCCAAAGGTTTTGGGTGTCTGCTTCATTCCCCCTTTCTTTACTGCACACCCAGAATCTTTTATAGTATACCACAGTTTTGAAAACAACAAAAAAAAAAGTAATACAGTAATGTTAAATTTAAACAAAGAAGTGAAACTAGAAAATGTGATATATATTGGCTTCAGCCCAGAAAGCCAGCCGTATCCTGGGCTGCATCAAAAGAAGTGTGGCCAGCAGGTTGAGGGAGGGGATTCTGCCCCTCTGCTCCGCTCTGGTGAGACCCCACCTGGAGTACTGCATCCAGCTCTGAGGTCCTCAGTGCAGGAAAGACATGGACCTGTTGGAGCGGCTCCAGAGGAGGGCCACAAAAATGATCAGAGGGATGGAGCACCTCTCCGATGAGGAAAGGCTGAAGCTGGGGTTGTTCAGCCTGGAGAAGAGAAGGCTGCGGGGAGACCTTATTGCAGCCTTTCAATACTTAAAGGGGGCTTATAAGAAAGATGGCGATAGTCTTTTTAGCAAGGCCTCCTGCAACAGGACAGGGGGTAATGGTTTTAAACTAAAGAAGGGTAGACTTACACTGAACACAAGGAAAAAATTTTTCATGATGAGGGTGGGGAAACACTGGAACGGGTTGCCCAGAGAAGTGGTAGATGCCCCATCCTTAGAAACATTGAAAGACAGGCTAGATGGGGCTCTGAGCAACGTGATGTAGTTGAAGAGGTCCCTGCCCGTTGCAGGGGCTTGGACTAGCTGGCCTTTAAAAGTCCCTTCCATCCCAAAGCATTCTATGATTCTATGATTGCAGTGTGGCAATGTGAATGTTGTGGCAGAAATCTTAGCTTTTGGAATTCCTGAGAATATAAAGCTATAGTGAGGGTAGATTTTTTTTTTTAAGCTAATTGTTCTATTTTAAATGTGAAAGAATAATGAAAAATGGTTAATATAATATCTTAATTTCTAACATATTAGTGACTTGCTTTCCTGGGAGAATGCTTGGGAGGCACCTCAGTAGTGCTGAACACCAGGAGAGCCACAGAGTAAACCCAGTTTGAAATGGGTCATCCTGAACTGGAGGGAATCATGTCTCTTTTTATGTAAGGAATCTGACTTTACTGAACTGGCACTTACATGAGATCTTACTTACAAAGGCATCCCCAAGAAATGGTTCCTACATAGCATTAGGATAAAGGTTTTGGGTAAATGCAAATGCTGCAGTGCAAGAGAAAAAATGTTGACTTTAAGATGTATGTTCTCGCAATATCTTATGGTTTTTTGGGGAGTACGCAGCATTACTGCTATGCCTAATGAAGTATGGGCATAACACTGTTGGCAGAGGTACGTGGATGTATAAAAAAAATCATATCTAAAAAGTTTGAGGGTAGGGTTAAAAAAAATCTTTGTATATTTTCATAACGCTAGTGAATATAGAATTAATTTTCTTCAGATACAGGTTTTCATCATGTGCAAGACTGAGTGCCTCTGCAGGAGCCAAAGGCACAGCTATTAAGTTCCTGAGCATTTACCTTTTAATCCACATCAGAAGTATATATATCTTTCTGCTATTTATTTGTTATATGCTATGTTATGATATATTGTGATATCTGTCTGATAGATGTTAATATCGATGCTCTTTATGAGTGCTATTGAATTATGCAAGTGCGTAATGTTTTAATTTGAAACTTAGGTGAAATATATTTTTTCATACATACTTGAAAAAACGCAGCTTAACCTTTTTGGCGAGTAGTGTTACCTTTTTGGAAGGTCGTAAGGTTTGTGTGTATTTGAAGAGGGAAATTGAAACAGAATGAGGACTTCATTTCAACTTCATTACTTCACCCGCTGCTGGTGAATGTAATGTGTTTTTGCAATATGTCACAAACTTTCAATATTTTGCAAATTATTCAGCTTATTTACAGTAACATTCTGCTGATTTATATTCTCATAATGCTGTGTTTGAACTTCCTGTGACTCTAGCGATGTTTGTAGGAGAGGCTGTGTACCAAAAGCTGTTGGTAGATTGTCTGCTGAAATTATCCCAGATGTGTAGTGAACACAAAAGCAAATCAAGTATAATGATCCTCTCATACAAGTTTGCTGAAATCAATTTCACCCTAAATATAAAGACAGATTTGCAAATATAAGACTGCTTTGACATTTTCTTATAAGCGTTTTTTCTTAAATATGTTTTTCGCAGTGGCTTTGCCTCCAGAGAAGACAGATGGAGTTTGCAGCGGAGATGAAAAGAAAGCAGAAAAAGAAAGTGACACACGCACAGGTTCCAAGAAGCAACTGAAATTTGAAGTAAGTCCTCTATATTTTAAAGTTTAACTGTACTGACATAATTATGGTAGAAAAATAAGCTGTGGACCAAATAGTGTCCTCTGATGCATGTATATAGCTCCCAGCGATTATAACGGGTACAGGAGGAAGCAGAATTGGCACAAGTCAGTGTCTTACTGTTGGTGCTCCTTATGAGGTGATTAGTGATATTTATTTCCAGGTTTGGAGAGGATCAAATGATGACCATTCCTCTGTAGGATCTGAAACGTATAGTAAGAAGAGGCGTTCAGTTTAACCCTTTATCTATGATCCTTTCATTAGTAATTTATTATGCCAGCTACCATGTTCCTAAATCCTTAGATTGACTTTCATGGACTATTGCCCTTGATTAAATCTGCCTGGTGTAAAAGATATTTGTGAAAACTTCCTTAACCATTGGTCTTCTGTGGCTGGACCTCCAAAGTGAAATAACCCTGACCTGCTACACGGGAAATCCATCTGATCACATGGCAGGAGGAAAAGGATCTTAGAGGGCAATGAGTCTGATGGTCTATTTCCTTGTAGACTTACAAACATCATAAAACTGCCAGACATTGTGTGTAGTTGGCAGGTTTTGTTTATATAGGGAGTGATTTAATAAATACGAGTATTGAAACATGCTGTCATCTGGCTAGAAGGTTGTCTGTCTTGGGGAGGAGGAAGATACTCTGGTACCGGCAAGAAACAGCACGAATTTTCATCTCTCTGCACTCCAGCAGACGTGGGAAACTTCTACCTTTCAGTGCTGTCAGCCTGTCACAGTAATGAGCTTTGCATTCCTCAATTGTTATTTAAAAGCCCATGCAGCCACCTTGCAGCATAGCTTGAGTGTTCGTTTCCTTCTCTAGAGCAGATTTAATAGTCTGGTACAATTTATTTTTTACTGTTTTAAGGCTGATTAAAAGGAAGTAGCTTTCCTATAGGCAGTTCAGGTGTTGCTAGGTGCTTGTGTGCCTTCTGGGGGGAGGTGACTTTTCCTGCCTTTTCTTTTTGTGCAGCAATAACTCTTTTTCTAGGCACGTTTTATGTTCTACCTTGAGTAGCAGACATTTGCAGACAGGAAAGGCATGATAAATTGCAATTAACAGTGCCTTGATATTTGAACGTTGCAGGACACCTGTCAACATGGTTGGTGCCAGAGTAGCTGGAACTCCACTGTACCAGCAAAGTCTGTGTTTGTTCCCAAGTAGTTCTTGGCATGCCATAAAGGTTAGCACTTGGTACTAGGCACCATGACTAATGCAGGGAAGGTTGCCATAGCTCTTAACTAAGCAGAGTACATCCTCACATAAAGATGTTATGGTAGGCAATGTGGGACAGGGAAGTATTAATATGTGGCAAGAAACCAAGCATTGATATTTTTTCCGTTGTTCTACTAACGAAAATTTTCCAGCTATGTACGCTAGGAGCTAAGAGATTGGTACATGCTTCAAAGGTATAAAAGAATCAGAAACGCAAGTGTTGAAACAAGAGGTCTAAATCTGAGGTGGATGTGATTTGGCTTTTAAAGGTGCCGGGAATGTTTATGTAATACGAAACTGTGTTTCCACAGTAGAGTGTGGGGCACTTGGCAGCTTTCAGCCGGGCTTGTTACAACTGAGAGAGGGCTGCCTTTGAACTCGGCAGGGGACAGGGGGTACCGGTAACTGCTGTAGGGAATTGGTTTCAAGTCAGAAGATCAACCAGGTATTTTGAGCTCTATCATGCTGAAGCTATTTGGAGCTGTTTATTTTACTTGCATACAGTGGCTTTCATTTTAATTGCACTGTAACTTTCCTGGTTTGCCTTGTTGTGGCTCTGGATAATTCTGATTGCAGAGGTCTTGAGAGAAAGCAGATGATTTACACCCAGGTGACTGGAGTCAGTCAAAGTGCATCCTTTGTTCCTGACTGAAGTCTTGGTTTTGGTTTGGGGATTTTTTTTCCCTTTAACAAATTGATTCTTTCAGGCTTTCCACACATCACAGTCTTGCTAACAGAAGCACAGTTGAAATAAGGACCAGGCACTACTCCCAGGTCGTTCTTACCTGCCAGTTCCTAGGCAGGCTCCATTTCAGGGGCTTCAGTGGCATGATGCTGTACTGCACTAACCCTGATAACCTCTGGGTATCAAATATCTGTGTCAAGGACAGGTCTCACTGGTGGGGATTTGTGCCATATGTCCACTTTGTATTAATGACTGCTCCTGGCACTGTGGTGTACCCCCTCATTCTGTGAGTCTGTTCCTGTTATCTTTCTCTTCCTGAGTTAAGCAGAGTTTTCTTTCTCACTTTTTAGTGGGAAATCTTGTTATATTTCAAGAGCTTCAGAGAGTAGTTTTCTTGTACCTTTTTGTGTTTTCTACAATGGAAGTAGAAAGCATCTTGCAGATTCCCCGAGGTCTAGCCCAAGGGAGTTAGGATTATCATGTGATTGTGATGAGACTCTTTCACTGTGGTGGACAGAGGCCTCCCTGGGACATGTCCTGAAAGCTTCCTCCCGCAAGGGAGGGAGGAAGGAAGAAAGAAAGCAAGCAGCCTCCTTCTACAGAGAGTCTCCTCTGCAAACAGGCCTTTTGCTTTAGGTAATCAGCTGCTCTTTGCATGTTTCTTAGGAATTGCAATGTGATGTGTCTGTAGAGGAAGATAACAGGCAAGAATGGACCTTCACACTGTATGACTTTGATAACAACGGAAGAGTCACACGCGAGGTAAGCAAAGTACAGCTGCCCCTTTGTGTGCAGCGTTTGCTAACGAGAGAGTGTTTTATAACAGGAACATTTTTTCTTCTATGAAATAGAGGTGTCCTGCCAATTTAAACAGCGGTTTCCATGGACCCTTCCCTCCTAGAAACAATCCCACCAGTAGTTTACTGTTTTCAGATGTACCATACCACTTTTTAAGCTGGTGGTTGTTTAATATCTGGGATTAGCCTTTAAAAAGTAGTACTGGCATTTGAGGAGGAAAAATATCTGAAACAACTGAACGCTAAACACATTGTCAAAATAAACCCCTGCAAATGTATATTGTTCTGGCTTCTATCCTGCTTTTCAGAGTTAAGCTAACCAAATAGCAAGGTTGCTTTCTGACATTCTTTCCAGTAGGACTAACTATACTGTTCTGTTGTTTTCATGAGTATTAGGCTGATCTCTGCCTTCTCCCTCCAAGTATAAATAACACTGATGATCCTTGCTGGAGGACCATAGTGAATGGCGGTCAAAGCATACCCATGTGTATTTTTTATTATCAGGATGTTGTCAAGTTGTATGTCCTGTGCAAATAAGAAGCCAAATAAGAGGATGTATAGATTAGAATACAGTCCTTTTCCAGAACTATTTCTATCTAAATTGAATGGTACTTCTAGAAGAATGTCTTTTACTGAGATTTACTGCAATGTGCTGTCATTGATTTTTTTGTGAGGTGTGTTTACTGGCTCCCATGCCTTCAGATAATCAGCTGAAAATTGACAGTTTTTGTCTCTCTTGGCTCTTAGGCTGGTGTCTGTGAAAATTCCTAAGAACTGAGTGAAAGGAATAGGGTAAATACTGAAAGCGTAGTGGCCTTAGACACCAAATGAGGGCAGAAATTTTTCCTAGAAGACTGAAGCAAATCTCTTTTGACATTTACGAACAAATGGCCAAACGTGGTGGCTGTTCAGGGTTTTTAACATGTATATGAACATCATTACTAGGCTTTTTTTATTGTCTGTACTCTAATAGTGCTTTGAATAGTCAAATGAAATCTATGCCCCTCATGCAAGAGAATAAGCAGATGAAACGTTACAGGCCAAGTCCAGAGTTTCAAATGGGAAGAGGAGATATATAGAGAGGGCAAGGAGAAGGGGTGAGGAAGTAGTATTGTATTTGTTAATGTATGGGGAACAGAGCCCAGAAAAATGAAATAACTTGCCTGAAGTCTCATAAGAACCTAGTGGCAGATTGAACCCAGATCTTTCGAGACCCAAGGCTAAGTCTTCATTACAAGATTATCGTGACTCTCAAAGAATAGGGGAAAAACACACAAAACCCAAACCCACACACATGGGTGTCCTTTACATTCAGGCATGGAATTCCCATTAATGTCAGTGGGAGTTCCATGTGCTGAATGTAACAAGAATATGTTTTTAAGTATGTATACAATAATTATTTGTGATTATGTGGTACACCAAAGAGCTTAATTTGACTGTACTTAGAGAATATGTTACAGCCAAATTCTACCTCTCCCTGCTACAAGAGCAGACTGCAGCTTAACTGAAACCAAATCTGTGCAGGGATTGAAAATTATACTACTCTGAGGTCTGGAGGTTGCTATATTCGGGCTTGAACCTGTGCCAAAAAAAATTTTTTTCACCAAGGGACCAAATAGGTTGATAATTTTTGGCTCTTTACGTGTGACCAAAGATAGAAACAAATAGTATGCACCATTGCAGAGTTTCCCAGTTGTGTTACACAGTTCTTTTGCAAGCTGTTCCAGTGCCATTTGTATAATCCATCCTGTTGGTTGTCTTCTGTTGAATCCAGATGCAATTTAGGAGTTGTTTGTGCAAGAATGACTGATGATAGCGGCTCATAGATAATCTTGGCCACAAAAGAGGAATTTCAGTCTCTTCATACGACATAGAATTTCTTGTTCTATTAGCCCCTGAGAGACTGGCAGTCAACATAGTGGGCTTGATACTGTTGTTTGTTAAGCAGCTCTGCTCCTGATCCAGCAAAGGACTTAATGATGGTGAATGTTAAATGTGTGAATAGTTTCAATTAAAATGAATGGAACACATGCTTTGAGTTAAAAGTATGTGAAGCACATTGCTGGTTCAGGGACAGAACGGACAGTCTGAGGAAGAAGGCTGATCTGTACCAGTGCCATTTAGTGAGCTGATGAAAACACTTTCGGAACCAGTCAGCTTTTCCAAACAAAGGTCCAGTGTTCTGGTGACAAAAGCTTAGTGTGGACCTTTTCTCCTTCTTTGAAAATTTCACTTTAATGTCTCCTGGATTTATAGCCTGATGTAAGAGAGAGATGAAATTTCTTAAGTCAGATTTCTATCTGTAGACCTTGAGGTGCTATACAAAAAGAAGTCAGCCTTATCATTCTTATTTTTCATGTTGGAAAAGTGAGACACTGGAAAAGGAAGTGACTTGCCCACCCACATCCATTTCATTTGATTCAAAGTCATTGTGTTTAAAGCGTCGGACTTCAGGTCCAGAGAGTTTCCAAAGGAATACAGTGTTAAATTGAGTTTGTAAGAGACATGTAGGTGGGGTGCAATATTACAAGTGGAGTAAATGTTTTTTTCATTAAAATATTTGAAAATTGTAAATAAGATATGGATTTAGTTACTGGATAAAATTTCCCTTGGGTTTTACACAATGACAGATCACCGCAAGAGCATTCAAATTCCATCTTAGTGAAATTTCTTCTGGATCTTAACAACATCTTCAGAACTTAATACTGCTTTGATTTCCTCGTAGAGTCTGCATGACTTATTCCGTAGTCCTTATAACTAGAAATTCAGATCTAGTCATGCTTCTTGAAGAAATACACCCATTATGAAAGCAGAATTATTGGGATGGCAAATTATAAAATTAGCATTACTGTATGTTATTACACTACTGCATTTTCTGTCATAGAAGACGACCATTTTTCAGTCCTTTTGGTGTAGTGCGAGATAACTTTTCCTGCTCTAATATGTATATTACAAAACTTGGCTAATAATGCTTCCCTTCATTCTATAAGCCATAAGAGGACAATTCATTATGTACTGCAGGCCTTTTTAGAACTGACAGCTGCACTGTAATTATCTTCACACGGATATTTGTAATCAGACTTGAAACTTGGATAATTGAACTAATGTGTTTTGATCCATGAGGTTTTATATTGAGCTCTCCGAATGTAATTATAATTCATAAACACTAGCTTTTTTTTTTTTTTTTTTTTTTTTTTTTTTTTTGTTTGCTATCAGTTCTTTCTTGGAAAATTGATTCTCTTTGGTGAGTGACTGCACAGGAATAAGCACACAAGAAAGTTGCTTGTCAGGAGTAAAACAAGGGAATTTCTCCTAGACTAGTTGTTGAGTAGGTAGCAAGTGAAGCTCGTTTCAGGTTGCAAATAAGAATGATCCAAAAACATATGTGATCAAACAAAGCTGATGTTGCAATAAAAACATCTTGCTGTATGTAAAAATCAGACTACAAACAAAATACAAATGAGACATTTGTACTTTTCTTTTTCTGAGGGAAAGGTAATGAACTGATATTGATGTTTCTCTTCATGCATTTTTAATGCTAAAAATGTTCTTGGTGTCTTACATTAGATACCCAATTTTTCCTCTTATGTTTCCTTTCTTAATTTTTTCTTTCCCTTTTTAGTTATTTTTGCTCATATCCTCTGTAATGAGTGAAAAGGTTTGAGGTTATTTCTGCATTCAGAACTCAGCACCAAATCTTTGACTTGGGGAGGGTGCTGGCTTTTCTGGGGCTACCGTTTTATCAACCTGACCCTTATCTTGAAATTTGCTGGTTTTCACTGTGTTTGTCAACATTGTATTAACTCATGATACAGAAGCAGCAAAGGAACCAACAGACAGAAGAGTAGTGCCGGTCTGTATCAGAGGGGCCATCGTTTCAGCCATTAGATTTGGTGGATTTGTACCACAGAGAAATATTAAGAGAAACTATGACTTTCTCTTTTGGTTTTGAGGGGACCCAAAGACATCTCTCCCAGACAAGTTACAAAGGATCAAACTGAATGTTTTCTTTCAGTGTTATTAAACTCAGTGGGGTTTTTTGGTTGTTGGTTTTTTTTATTATTATTGGGTTTTTTTGTTGGTTTTGGTTTTTTTTTTGTGCAAATGTCTTATTGTGTTAAATGAATCCCGCTGGAAAAGCCTTTTAGTTTCCTTTACAGAATCTCTAGTTTGCTAACTAGTCCTATGATGATAAGCTGCACCAATTCCGGAAAAACAGGGTCGTCCCTGTACCACTAATGTTCCTTAGAAGTAAAAAATTAATACCTGGAATAGGGAGTTCCTCAGTCACGAGCTGTGTAAGGAATGAATACTTCAGTGTAATTTGCCCTTGTTCTTTTTTGCAGACCCATTAGTTTCTCTGAATGTTCTAAATTCCTGCTAATCTCCTACTGGAGATATGTAAAGTATTCTGTGGATACATGTGTGAGTGCAGCATACATGTGTGGCCTTAACTGTTTGCTTTTTAGTATTTCTAATGCAAGTGTTTCTGGCAATCTATTAAAGTTGCTCTTTTTAACATACTTTGTTGTATTAGCTGCTTGATAAAATAGGATGTGAAAAACATACAGATAAATACTGTTAAATCCTTCAGCCCTGGAAAAAACAGCTGTAGTGTTCAATAAGCAAGACACAAGTAAGTCCTAGGTATGGCATGTGCTGGCTGTTTGGATACTACCCAGCAAGCATTTGTTTTCCTCTTTGAGGAAAAATATCATAGTTTCAATTTTCTTACTTGATTAAACTAGCTATCCCAGCAGAAATTCTGCACAGTAGAAGCCCTTCAGAAGTTAGTTAGATGCATGCAGCCTACTTCCCGTCTAAATATAATCCATTTGCTCTAAAGGGGATAATTCTTTTTTTTTTTTTTTTTTTTTTTTTTTTTTTTTTTTTTTTTTTTTTTTTTTTTTTTTTAAAATTTCTATTTCTTTACCCATTTAATATACTCATTTAAAAATCCACAATGATGTTTAACTAGAAATGGTTTAAAAGTACATTTCAGTAAAAAAAAAACAAAACAAGCAAATGATTTGTTTGGAAAAATGGGAAACATGGAAAAATGTGTTCTTGTTTATTTTTCATGTAAAAAGGGAGGAAGTTTGAAAAAAGCGATGAGACTTTTTGTGCGGGAAGTGCCGAGCAGTCTTAAGCAAAAGAGTTGGAAAATCATGTGACTGGTAAAAATCGTAATCCAATCGTGCAGAAAAGTTAGATTCTTTGGTAGGTGGTTTCTGAGACATGCTAGTTGGTGTACCAGAAGAAAGGAAAATTTAGCTAGCTTTTATGTTTGATCCTTGATGCTAAATTTCTTGAGGACAGTGAAATGCACAAGCTGGTGTGTAGAAGGTAAAGCTGTCTCAATGGTTTTAGACAGTTCTTTAAGGAATTTAAATGCAGATAATGTTCAGTGGGACAGCTTTCAAGGGGAACATAAATTGCCTCAGTCTCCTGGCAGGCTACTGGAAGAGGAAAATTCTTTTGGGGGTAAATATAGACATAACTATAAAATACCAATTTTGGAACATATATTTAATGGTCTAGTGCTACTAATTTGACAAGAAGCCACTACCATATTAGCTGCCAAAAAAGGGCTGCGAGAAGGTGGTTTTAGTCACCGTTCAGAACTCATTGACAAAGACCGTTCTTACTAGTGCCTCAGGAATTTGTATGTTATAATTGTGAAGCAATAACTGGAAAGCAACAGGAGGTTCAGGCTACCTTGTAGCTGATACCTGCTCGGCCAGGACCTTGGTAGATGACAGAGTAGTGAATGACCCAAGCAGACTTGTTTGACCGAAACAGAACTGTCAGTTTGCTAGAATTTCCAACCCCAAATTAGGACCACAAGTAAATGAATCCTGTAATAAAAATGATGTCAGTATTTAAAAGATCAGCATAAGCATTAAGTGGTTACTTATGGATATCCCTAACCTCGATCTTGGTATATATCCAGTCTGACGACCACGTTCATTCAGTGCCAGAATGCAAAGCAGTTCAGATTGTTGTGGAGGAAGCTGGGTATTAACCATGTAACGAAATGCACAGGCAGCAGAGCATAAGGCCACGAGGTGTCCTGATACCTCTGTGCAGCCTCTTAAACTGCTCGGAGCCTGGACATTAATTTGGGTTAATTCAGGCCTGTTTGGCTGAGAGGTGTAAATTGTCCTGATGTGATATGCGTGTGTACGTATTTCTGACTTGCCAAATATGTGTCACACAAATGCTGCATCTGGCCTTCCTTGACAGCATTTGGGAGTACTTTTTAAACTGCTGAGTCAAGCGGTTTGTTGAGAAAGACCCTCACAGACACAAGGAGCAGATTGTATGCCAGTTGGCAAGTTAGACCTCATCACTGGAAAAAAATAATGTAAAAGGACAGTGGGAGTAAAGACTTTTTGTCTTTGCCTATTGAAGTTAAAATAGACAAGATGATCAGCTCGTACAAACATCTGGCATAGCTGAAAAAAGGAAGGAGGATAGATTATTGTGAATGAAAGAGTTGTTAATAACCTCTTGATAGTAGCCTTGTGTGGAAAGATGCCATGTTGGCTAACCAACACTTGTTAAGGAATGTATGGGAAAGGCTCCGTTCACCAAAGTGCTGAGTGTATGAAGCCCTGTTAAGAATAAATATGGTGCTTCAGTATTCCGCTGAAGGGGAAGGTTTGGCTTATCGAGGTGTAAGATTAGAGCACAAGGCTCCTAGAACATAATTTATGAAGGGTGTGTAAAACAGATATGTTTTGTCTGTCTGTCTGTGTTCTTGCTTGCTTGAGTTTTTCTCATAGATGAAAAAAAAATTCCAGTCCTTCAAGCTGGCTGTCAGATACTGCTATGTCTATTTAGAGGCCTGGCTAGGTTTCAAATTAGGGTGGACTTGTGAGAAGTGAGATGTGTTAAAGAGCTGTGAGGTGTCCACCAGATTGTCACTGAGCAGTCTTGCCCTCATTCAAGCTTTAGACGGTGATTCTTGTCAAGAGGATGGAAAGTGGCTACTGACATTGTAGTAAGAGCCCATATATAGACACTCTTGTGGCAATGGTAGAAAAAATATGCCAGTGGGGAGATAAAAGAGAGACTGCAAATTCTGCTTTCTTTTTATGAATGTTGTCTTGAACTCACAAGTCTGGAGAAATTCCACTGACTGCAGAAAAGTTAGAGAGGGTACATGTTAAGACAAAGTCTGGACCCTCTAGGATTTAGTTATTCATTGTGTCTATTGAGCTGGAAAATCACCTACTGTAAAATCATTTGTCCTGACTATTAGGTCAGTATTTCCCTAAATTCTGTGTGAGTAGAAATTAGTATTTCTGTGTCACCTTTAAAGCTGGTTAGATAATGAGGACTGTGTGGTATATTGACTACTAAAGCGCTGGGACCCATTAGGGCATACTAAACTTCGAGCTGCTGTTGTTACGGGCCTGATCCCTGGGCAAAGGAAAAATTGTAAAGGTTTTGAATTTTTATAAACCTGACTTAATCCTCAGAACCAGTTATACTTAGCAAAGGATGATTTAGATATTTCCTTTGTGCTCGCAGGCATCTGGAAAGAGCTTAGGTACTAGGATAGATCAAGGAATAAGAAGACCAGCATGGATAAATTCTCAGATATACATTGAATGGGATCTTTATAGCCTGCAATGATCAGTATGCTTTGGCCTTAGGTTGGTGCCCAAGATCAGTTTTTGTGAAATCCCTTTGGGGTAAAGCACTGAGCCAAGAGATCTTTTCATCCTGGCAATTTTAGGTAGTACCCTATTTGAGCCTGGCTGGATTAGATCAACCTGAGAGACCTTTGAGCATCACCAGCTACTAAACAGTGTTTCTTCTGTTTGAAACAATTGGCTTATTAAAATTGGCTAGTGTTCTTTCTGCTATAGCCAGACATGTAAGCATTTGTTCATGTCCCATTGCCTTCAAAGAGATGTATGAAGAATGTTATGTAATAGGCCTGACTGGATAACCTCTGCTGTTCAAAAATGTACGTTTAGAACTGGTTTGAACTTTGCAAAATAAGCCAGACCCCAATAAGCATGTGGTAGAGTGACATTCAGACATAATTTCTTTCCAAACCTGAGGTTTACAGTTCTGACACTTCTCTTACTGATTTTCCTCTATATAATCAACCATTTAACTATCACAAGAAAAAAAAACATGAAGTAGTAAGACTGTAATGTCCAAGATTTTCTTCAACTGCTGTACTTGTTTTGGTCATGTGAACTCAATTTTTAGTGCAGTATGAATGGTTATCCCTGGGTTCTGTTGAAACCAAAGAAAAGAAAAGGCAGAACACAATTTTGCTGCTTCACAGTTTGGGAAACCTGAATGCCTTGTGCTTTTATTATTGTTTTGATCTGGTTTGCCTCATTTCATAAATCTTAATGCCATTTGATGAAGAAGGATATGGATCTACTCGAATCGTTCTCTTCTGTGTCTGTGAGCTATATTACAGTCTATATTAGAAAAAATGGGGATTAACAGAAGAGAGAAATGGATCCTTTCTTGTAAGGTTCTGTGCAAGTTCCGCTCTCTTAAATTCAGTGACTTCTGAGGATATTTCAGCATTTAATAGTCCCAAGTCCAAAATAGTTAAAAGTATCAAAGCTGTAGGTTTCATACCATTTTCACAATAGCGTGTCTTTTTGTGTTTCAACCCAACTATAGGATATTACCAGCTTGCTTCATACCATCTATGAGGTAGTTGATGCATCAGTAAACCATTCTCCTAGTTCCAGCAAAACTCTGCGAGTGAAACTTACTGTGGCACCAGATGGCAGCCAGAAGAAAAAGAGTATCTTGTTAAACCATACTGGTAAGGATGTGCAATCAGCCATTGGAAAAAATGTGAAGAACTTCAAGAATCCCTTAAAAATCCATCTTCGTATTTTGTTAATACAAATAAATATATACTTAAAGGCAAATAATTATGTGGGTATTTTAAACCCCATGAACCTGTTTTAAGATCTCGGGTGCAAAATTGTCTACTCTCCTTTCAGTGTCTCTTAAGCAAATTGGGGTTCCCTCTCCTGATTGCTTGTTTCCTCCTGGAAGCAGCAATAACCCGTATGTTGTGTAATTGTCTTTGTGTACTGCAAGGCAGATTTAAGGCCTTTTCGACTTGTACCACCTTAACTCTGCTGGTATTACAGCGCTCAGTTTGTGTGGAAACAGGTGTAGTGGTATAAAATGGTTTTTGCAAGTGCATAGCTATCATTGCTGCTGGATAAGAATAAACAATTAAGCGTAAGTAACCTTTTTGAATCTATGCATAAAAATTGCACATTTTTCTGTACTGGCAGAGTCTGCCATTATAAAATAGCTTATACTCTGATGGCTTATTCACCTTATATTCACTCTAATAATAGTTGTATCAGCATACAAATCTTCAGTAGATAAGTACTTCAGTACTAAATTAAAATACTTAAAAGTATTTTCAGTAATACTTCAGTAGAAAATGTGGACACCTTATCCAAAAGGAGAGCCTTGTTACCTCAGTTTTACTATACACATCCACTCAGTCAAGTGCAGACATAAGCAAATTTGCCCTGCTGGGGAGCTACGTGATGCATTAGTACAGCATCGAGCTCCAAACTACCGAGCCCTCCTGAGGGACAAGTGTATCAGTGCGAATGTGGCTCCATTTAACCTGCCACATGGCTTGCAGCCTAACCCTGACTAATGTCCTACAGTCAAGGTTATGTCTGTCTGAAATCTGTCATGCAGACAAAAGCACTTTTGAGAAGGTTACACGAAATGATACATTACATCTTGATCTACCGACAAGAATAAATGTACTTGCAATGTAGCATGTTAGTTATGCTGGTCAGCAAGGACAGTAACGTGAGAATAATGTACTTTCTCTTGTTGGCAGATTTGCAGAGTGCCAGGCATAGAGCTGAAAGCAAAGCTAATGAAGAAGTAAGAAGCTCTGAGAAGAAGCAGCGGGCCTCTCTCAGGTAAGGGGAAAGAACCCTGTCTCCTGACAGGCACTGGGTACCTCTGAAGAAACCTCAACCACTGATTTCTTGCTTACTTGCTTTATTTTTAAAAACTATGTTAAAATAGAGGAATTGCAGGATTTGTCACCGTGGAACCATCAGAGTATTCCATGGGTGGATATTTTGTATATTAAAACAAAAAAGAAAATCTGTAGCACCCATTGCTCAAATTTTCTTCTTCTGTTGTCTCTTTGGAGGACATGCAGTGTCTTTTTAGATGCCATCTGCAAATATTGTGCCTACTAGTGGAGTTTATAGCACAGCCTTTTGGCTAAAAGTGTCCTAAAACCTTTTCATCTTCATAGAGGCCAGCTCTTGCCTTTCTCTGTCCTCTTTCCAGCCCATCTTTTTCACTGGTCAACTCAGTTAGTTCCAAGCTTTATTAAGACAATCTTGTTTACCAGGTCATAACCAGACCTGCGCCTCCTTGCTGCCTTTCCTCCTAAAGGAAGCAGCTTTGAGCTGGCACTGGGTACAGTTCCTAGCAGAAGGAGGAAAGAAGGGAGCTTGCAGCAGAGCAGCAGACAGTCAGCTTTACAGCAAGTGGTTTACACAGGCTGTGTCCCACAGAGTACACGACAAGCCAGAGCTTCCAGCACGCTGCCTGCTCCATGCTCAGTTCTGCTGAGGTGGTTCTGGCTTATAGCAACTGTGGGGTGGCTCAGCTCCACTTACAAAGTGTAGTTGTACATTTAGTAGGAGAAGTAAATTAATCTCTTTCTTACCTCACAGTGACTTAGCAGAGTGGCCATCTCTGCTGACTCCCACCTGCCAGAAACCATGCTTCCCCGCTGCCACATCAGCTTTAGGTCAACTTCTCCCTTACAGAATTAGTTATTAGGTAGTACCCAAGTAGGAATTAGCCTGCTTGCTTAGAACCAATATATTTAATGTAATCTTGCGGGAAAATTGGGATAATTTAATTTATCTTTTTTTTTTTTCATAAGTTTCAGAATACATTTTACCACTTGAAAAAATACCTGTCTGTTGTCTTTCAATGGAATCCAGCTTGTGTGTCTCAAAGTGCATCCATTTCCAATAAAGCACAAGCACAGTGGTTTCTTTCATGAAGAGCTGCAGGTACACTTGCAGCCATCTACAGATTAGATAAAAAAAGGTTTTTAGTTCTTCCCTAACAGAATGTACAATATTATTTTGGATGCCAGTCCAGAACAGGTCTTTTTCTTCTGAAAGTGTGTAATCATGTGTACCTACCCTGTTATCATGAGTTCTACCTACCTGATAGATATTACCAGGACTGAACTTCAGAGTACGTCATAATCATTTGCAATGTATTTTTCAAGTACTAAAATTTTTTACAGCTAAGAAAAATGTTAATCTCTCAGTCACATGTAGGTGTGCTATTTCTTTTTGGAATTTGGTATTTTAATGGATAGGAAAAAAAATCAAAAGCAAATAATTTTGCTGCATTTTAATGTAAATCGGTTGCTCCAAACAGGTCATCTTTGTGTATAGGTTAGATCTGGTTTATGATTGTATGTTTCACGCTAAGGCAGAGGGAAGTGTTTGCTGAAATGCTACCATAGTGACATTGAATCATTAGTTGCATTTCTTCAGCTGCAAATTTAAAAAAAAAATAAATAAAAAAAAATCCACTTTTGGCTTTCCTGGGAATTAGGGATATTTGTTCAAATACATAATAAATTTATCAGGAGAAGGAGCATTCAGTCATTAAAAATGACAACAAAACAGTGCCTCCCTTTTTTGGATAGAGTAAAAATGCTAGTGAGTTATCCCAGTGAGTAAATCACAGTACAATCAAATTTCAGATTAAAAGAAGACTAAAATGACTTCTAATCTTCTGTTAGCAACTCTGTACAAAATCTTCTGTGAACTAAAGAATACTCTGTGGTTTTGCTTGCTGGCCTGGACGTGGTGTTCAGATTCCCTCTGCCCATTAGCAAAGGTTCGTCCTGTGTGAATTTAATGGACTGTTTTTGTTTGATAATCTATTGCAAAAATCCCCTTTCAGTTTGAAGCCTTCCCCATCCACCTCAAAGTCCTTGTTTTGCAAATGTAGTGGTTTTATGAACAGCAGCCATTTGCACTTAAATTCACAGTCATAGAGGCATCAAATGTTGGGGTAGAATCTTGGCTCTGCTGCATTTGTCCTTCTCATCCCTTTGGTTAGAGGCTTCCTAGACAGAACAAATCTGTGTCTTAAGCTGAGCAGATCAGCATCAGACAACTGTCAGCATCTGGCAGTTTTTGCTGCATCTCATTAAATGTGGCCAGGACAAAGAATGTCCTGTTCACACTGTGTATGTTGCAGGGATGTTTGTGCACTCTGGCCAAATTGCTAACCCTCAGGAAAGCTCCCTGAGGCTCACATCAGAATCTCACAATATTAATGCAGAGGCTTCCCCTTTGAAAGCAGCAATGAGGACTTGTGAGAAGTGCACACATTTCACAAATTCAGTCACTTAGGAATTCTAGGCAAGATGTGATTAATATTCAAGACAAAATGGATAGAAATGTTTTTATCCTGAAGGTGGAAGATAGATGGGTTAGATTTTTCATCTGCTGGAAGCTACAGGCAGGAGTTTTCACCTGTAGGGCTAACACAAGTATCAAGATCAAGTAGCGAGATTCATAGGCAGCTTGCCTGGCATGTGTGGTACAAAATGGATGGTGGAAGAGCACTGGCAGGCACCTTTGTGGATTGGGTATCTTCATGCCATTCTAGTTTATATTTGTTTAGTGCAACAGGGAAAATATGATGCACACCAGTGTCTAAAACCTCTTCCTTTTACCCACAGATACTCATTCTCACTCTTTCTTAAGTGATTTCTTCCTGACTGGCTTAAACTCTGTGTTATCAGTGAGCGTAGCTTTCAGGAAATGTCCTTGCGTTTTTCTACCCTGTGCTTTCTCGCTGCTCTGTTCCCCTTACCTGCTGTATTGCTGTGAGCTTATTAGCATCAGGATGACACTCCAGCATGGGAATTCTAGAAAGGGCTTTCATACACTCCACAAACACTTAAGCAGATGCCTTTTTTTATTAAAAACCAAACCAAACCAACACTGTATATTTTTACACACTGTGCTTGATGCATGGTTGATGCGTGCCCGTGTCTTCCCATGTGTATGCAGGAGAGCACTGTGGAGCTGGATGCCAGACGCTTCAGTTCTCAGAAGTACTTTAAGTTCTCTTTGACAGTGGAGCACATCTCTCATCAGTATATAATTGCTTCACTCAATATATTTGCAGGAATATTGGTGAACGTCATCTTGCATGTAAGAAAGTTATTAGAATGCAGGGCTGTGGCAGTACTGGCATAGTTTTTCTTCACTGTCTTGATGAGAGATGGAATTTATTACAGTAACAAAAAACCAGGTTCCCTGTTAACTTAGTTTTCAACAGACAGTGCTGTATACAGTGTTGCTTAATTGTGTTGGATCAAACCCAATGATGTTTTTTCTGGGTTAACTGTGCATTGTCTTCAGCACATGTGTGCAAGTCCCAGTGATTTCCATATGCAATTCATGCCTGGCAACTTCAGTTAGCCAGGTTCTAGCCCCAGAGATCTTTTATGTTGACCTGCTAAAGTGTAACAACCTGTAAAGGTGTGTCTGAGGCAGGAAAGGTACCAAGTTGGCTATGTATCCAAAAAAATAAAGAATATCTGGACATTCCCTCTTTTTTGACAGTACTCCATGTCACTTTTGGAGTTCAAAGCTGACTCAGAGTCTTTAAAGCTTACCTGCTTTCCAGGCAGCCTCTCCTTCATTCAGGAGACTCTACCTCTATCAAAGCAGAGCAAAAATGATCTTCCAGGTAGGTCAAGTCTTGCGACTTTTATCAAAGAAACTGTAGACCTGCATCTGACAGAGACACGGGGGACTCAGTTCTGTAATGTCCCTGAACAGTACTACCCTAGACCAGGAAAGCAGTTTGTGCCAAAGCTCAACGGGATCGGCAGCCTCTGGAAACCTGGAAATGGGTTAATCGACTAAAAGTGAAGTACTGGGCACCATACGGTACAGAGTCCATATTTAGCAACTGGTGTAAGATACAAGGCCAAATTCTGGTCTTAGGTTGACATCGGTGCAATCACACAGGGATTTTTTAAGCCTATCTTGTGGTCTTGGAGACTGAACTATCTGAATGACAGGCAGTGACTTAATCAAGAGTTTTCTGCTTATCCTGTTTGTTATATTGAAAATATTGTTCAAATCTGCAGACATCCATTTAAATTGCTGAATTAAATTGTTCGGCATTATGGGCTACAATACTGTAAACCTCTGCCTGATTTTTTCTGCCTCATAAATGAATGGTATTTCAGATATTCATTCTCAGGAAATAGTTCTGCTATAAATAAAATTGCAAAGCTGAGCAGGAAAAGGAGTCGAGATTCTGAAGCCAGCGGCTGATCTGACCTTATTAATTGTATTTTGGAAAGCAGCAGTTATCTCTGGGTGTCCTACCAACACCTTCTCTTCTCGGACTCTCTCTAGTTACTACACCTGTGCTGTTGCCTGTCTTTCTGAAGCAGATACACATGAATGTTTATCTGACACAAGGCTTACCCCAGCGCTTCCTGACAGCGGTGGGAACAGTCAGGAATCAAACAGCAGGTTTTCTTTGGCATGTCCAAATTAGAGAATCAGTTGAATGGTTTGGCCCTAAGACAGAATGTAATAAACCTTAGGAGCATTTTTATTTGTTTTTGCATGTGTGATGCAATTTGAAAGCCTCCTTTGCTTTGCAACATCGGGGTGGATTTATATCAGGGGAAAGAACAGTCAGTTCAGGCCTATCGACTTAGCAAATCCGGTCATCCAGAATTTCAAGTGTCTGTTGTTTCTTTGTGAGCAACTCCTGTCACTTCAAAGGGGCCATTAGTTGTTGGTTTGCAGATGGTGATAACAACTTTAAAGAAGTTCTGCTGAATTGTAATTTTGCTTCCTGCTGACAGATATCACCAGAGTGAGAACAATCCAGAGCAAAGTGGGTGCTATCGTCATTGTGTTGATGAGAACATTGAAAGGAGAAACCACTACTTGGATCTTGCAGGAATAGAAAACTACACATCAAAGTTTGGGCCAGGTAATTTGGTAATTTATGTTGCAACCTTTTCATCTTTCTTGCATGTTCCACATCAGGGGCAGTGAATTGTGGACCTGTGTGATTTGTCTGTAGTGACTTACTGGAAGAAACAGGACTGTGTGAATACTGCAAGATAATTACTGTTGAAGGTGGTATCACAATGGAGTGGCTAATGTGCTCCAAGCCTGCTTTGAAGCACTTGCTTGTGTAGCTAAACTTGGAGGTGAGCCTAGGAGAACAATCTTTACATCTAAATTATTAAGTTTAGTCTATGGGTGAGGCAAGGACTGATTTTTGGACGTTGGAGCTCATTCCCAAGGTGATAGCAGCACATATTTTGTACTCACTACTGACCCAAAAAATCGGAGAATGTGGGTTCATACCTCAAATTTTGGCCTCTGGCCCCAAATTAAAGGGATTTGGATTTCCTCCCTTTCCCTGTCCTCTGCCAAGATTTTACTATTCCACTCACAGTTATTTTGGTGAATTTCAGATATATGATGACCAAGAGAAAGTAATGTAAAGACTTTCATACATGTGCATGCACACACACACTCTCTCTTATATAGATATGTATGTATATTTGTGTGTGTATTATTGACTAGTCAGAATTATTAAATGTAATTAAACTAGACGGCTATAATTGCATTCACTTCCTCAGGAAAAATTCACTCTGCCGATTAATGCTATCCCTGCCAACTGCATGCTGCTAATTAAGACTTTGAAATACTAGATGACTAACTCAGCTTGTTATTTCCTAGGATCTCCTCCAGCAGCTCAAAAACATGACCCACCAAGCAGAGTTGTGAATCAGACTAGATCCCGTTCTCATGAACCTGAAACCTTCCATGCTCACCACAGGAAATCTCAAGTGGTGGATCCGAGCCACATCAATCTAGCTGAGAGTTCATATACCAAGATTGCAGAAATCCAACAGAGGCTCCGGAACCAGGACTCAAACAAGCACTTTGTGAGGTCTCCCAAGGCCCAGGGCAAAAACATTGCCCCTGTGCACCCTGGAAGGGCAGTAAGAAATAAACCTTTTCAAGGGGCGCCCATGCCAATGGCTTCCCCAAGTGCACGGGTGGGCCAGAATCTTCCTTACCTCCCCTTGCAATCTCAACAGGTTCACAAGAAGCATAAGCAGAGGGCAAAGGAGAATCATCAAATGTGCAAAACCTTCCAGTCTCCAGGGACAGTTGTGGAAAAGGAACATGTGAGAGACCTGCCCACAGTCATTTTATATGAAGGCCAAGTTGGACAAATGATACAAAGACATGAACACCACCACCACCATGAGCACCACCACCACTACCATCACTTCTACCAGACATAGAAGAGATCCCACCAACATCCTCCAAGAATCATCCCATATGAAGGAAATGCGTTCTTGTGATACCAGAACTAAGGCATTACTATGATTAATATTGTTACTCCATTAATATTCAGCTAGCATATATTTTAGAGGTTATATGGAACTCTTGAAACTTACCCTATTTATATGTCGTGGAACTGCATAGCTTACATAAACACCTTGTGGATTTTTTTTTTTTTTAAAGTGGCTTGTAAAAGAGCAAACAGCCATAGCTTTTTGAGCTGTGATTTAATACAGGTCGTCAACGCACTTCTATACAAGTACTACTTCCATTGTAGTAGGAAAGATACTTCAAACACTATTGCAGACATCTAGCTTACCACTCTGCTGTATGTCGGCTGATCGCACACAAGCCTTTTATCAGGGGAGCAATGTTCGAAGGGTTGGACTCCAGAGATACTCAGAGTAACAGAAAATACAAACAGCTGCTACCTCTAGTATTATTCAGATGGGGGGGAGTGTTAATATACTGCATTCATGTAGCCTGTTTGTGTTCACATCCTTTCAAATTATCTTAATAATTACAAGGAAATATTAGCTATACTTGTCAACAGAGCTACATTTATATGACTTACACTTTATTTTCTTGGAGATTCTTCACTGACACAAGTACAGTCTGTTATATACTGGGTAATATTTAAATATACTACTTTTATTTTTGGTTTTTCTCTTGCTTATTCTCCATTCTGTTTGGGGTAACCATTTGAAAAGAGGAGGATGTGAAATGGGGTTTTCAAAAGCATCACTAGACTTTAGTGCTTGGGCCATAAGTATCACTCATGGGGTTTGAGAAGGAGAGGGGTTGTTTGGGGGTTTTGTTTTGTTTAAGTCCACAGTTCTTTGTTTTGAGAAAGAATTGAGGAAAATATACTTTCTCACTTTAAATGTTGTCAATTATATATAAAATATAAATATAAATATATATATATAAATATGCACACTCTCAGGTACATTTTGTTGTGTTTTAGAAATCTGTGGTTTGAATATTAACATTATAATTTTTTTTTCCACAACAGTGACTTTTTAGAAACGTATGCCATGGCATTTTCTTAGGTGCCTCCAATTTAAATTTCCCCAGCACCTTCCAATTTGTGCTTCTCCCATTCTAGAGACAATTCAATATGTGAAAAAATATCATTCACAATCATCCTGGCCTCTTCTACTTTTTCTGTATCAAAGGGCTTCCATTCCATGAAGGAGAATGAGACCATACTCACAAGACCTTACTGGCTGCTGAGAAATTTGAAGGTCAAAAGCAAATGGGAAAAGTGAAAAAAAGGGTCAGTACATTCAAGTTTTACTTTCTGTGGGGCCCAGATTTATAATACATTCAGTTCGGTTTTGTACAGGTCACCATTTTGCAGGTAGAAAGTGACTGAAAAACACCTATGTTGCTTTTGGAACATTAAAGTAGAGAACTCCTCACATAAAAACATAATTGTTCTATAAACATATTTGCTTTTGGTTTTAATTATTTTAAATATTGTGGTATTTTGTCTATAGTATATATTGTGAAATGTTGCTATCCCACATTGTTATAAGCCCTTTATGATTAGGGTATTTTTTTTCTGACTAGAGTTTTGATCAGTCCAAAATGGGGTATTACCTTACTGCTGACCGGTTTTAGAGGGATGTTATCCTTTCTAAGAACATGGAGACATCAACTTTTAAAGAAAAGTGGAAAGCCTTGCCTTCTTGTGGAATTGGAATAGAATCACTGCTTCGTGGTAATTAGGTCCATCTCTTGTCTCCCTGGATTAGCAGTTGTTTAGACTTATTGTCCTCTTTAAAAAATCTGGTTTATTTTATTTTATTTTTTTAAGCTGTCAACAGCGTGTTCTGTTAAATCTAACAAAATGTTTTTAAAATGTGTTTGATCTGTGTGACAACTATACTGTTCTGTTTATTTTTAAAATTCCTAAAGTCCAAAAATATTTATATGCAGAATTTTCTGTATTGAAAATATGAAAAGGCCACAAATTTGGTTAGTTACCACTGAGTTGTTCTAGTCTAAGCCTTTTTTGCTGCTTGTGTATCATTCTTTTTCAATGTATATATAATTATGGACTGCAAAAAAAACAAAAGGCATTTATATGTCTAGTAGAAGGAATAAGCTTATTTATATTATAGTGTTAACAAAGTCTGATGTATTCAAGTGACGTACGTTATACCGCATGCAAACACACAAGTGTACATTCCATCTAAGAAGGGATGCCATGCTATTTGTTTTGAAGATGTAATTAAAGCTGTTCTCTTTTCAGTAGAGCATATGCCAGAAAGACTGGAAGGTGGGAATTGTTCCTTAGTCAATTTTTTTAATGCAGATTGTTGCTGAAAACCAGAAAACATTCTGGAAAACTAGAGTGCTTTCAGAACTGTGGGCTTTTCTAAGAAAGGGCAGCAAAGGGGCATAAATGCTCTTTCACCCAAAGATATTTTGCTGGAAAAGATAACAGCACCAATAACAAAATCCCATCTGATTGAAAAGTGTGCAGTACTAGCTGTGCCAAGTGGACTCTGAAATGTAACACAACTGACCATTGGTTACAACCTCACATTGACTCGTTTTGGTTTATTATATTTGGAGATTCAAAAGACAAATTCTACCTTGCTCAGATTCTCTGGAATACAAATACATTTTAATAACGTGGCATCCCCATACCAAAACTTTACACCAGCCATGTATGAACATACAGTATCTAAATACTGTGTTGCAGTTGTGTTACGTGTATTAAGTGTGAATAACATGTAGCACAGTTTCTTTTCACAGAACCTTAAATTTCCGTATCTTTTAAAAACGTTTGCTTTTCAGTATTTTGTATAGTAAATATAGATGGTTTTGACTAAATGCTTTATTTATTTAACAGCAAAAACTGTGCCAAGAGAACCCCCTGTTAATTAAAGTTTTACTAGTTCAGAAAGTATATTTCCTTCTTCTTGTTGTGGATTTCAGGGGCTTATTGCAATTGCTGTCAGTGCTTGCAGATCCCACTGATGAAAGAGCTTGCATTAACATTTTTGGGAACAGAATCAGGCTATAAGGTATGGACTGGGTATGCTTTGGTTTTATATTTAAACTATCAAGTTTCAAAGTTAAATTTCTTGTCCCCTACTATTAGACCTGTGTTGAGTAACTGATTTTTCAGCTTGTTATTAATTCTGAAAACCTTTTTAAAAAATATAGTTTAAGTTGCTCAAAACTGTGGCTGAATCAAAATTTAAAATAGATCAGTTTCTGGTTAAACAAAACATTTCATTCCCAAGAAAAAAAAACTTGAGAGTTGAGTATATTATTACTATTTAAAAGTAAAATGCAGTGGCATGAAGTAGTTTCAAATGAAAACTCCAGCCTTTTCACTTACTTTTTCTGGTTTTACACAAAACAATTCAGCAAAACTAAGGCAATCCCCAAATTTGCGCTATTTGCTGAAAAAATTTCGACTGAAAAATTTTGCTCGGATCTACCAGCTGCAATTTTTGGGAAGCCAGGTTTTTGAAAAGAAGGATTGCTAAGCTCTTCTCACAACTTCATGACCACCTAATACGAAGTAAACTAAGCTAAGGATAGAGAAGTAAAATCTGTTTCCCAGTGAAATCTCTGGCAAGACTGCCAGATTCCCACTGGCTTCAGGGTGCCTATCATTTCATTCCAGGAATGTGGGTCTGAAGTCTACATAATGTGCAGACAGTGATTTCAGTATTTATTTTTTATGCATCTTGCTGCTGATGTTTTGTAGTAGCTAATATTAAATGGAAGTGTTACAGTAAGAGATCAAGCTGGTAAGTTAATTAAGATTAGCAGCAAATACTGTGCTTTATACTCATGTCATTGGAGGACCTCAAGGCACTTCCAAATGTCTTTGAAACATCCACATATCATTTAGTCACTGTTAGAAATTAAGACCCAGTTCTGCCCTTGGATGATGAAGTACAGGTTCTCCTGGCGTATTGGCAGACCAGCCCCTTAAGGCCATACCAAATTAAAAAGCCACATATATGACCTCTATAACTGCCTTCCTACTCTAGTCATCATGAGCACAGAACAGCAAAGTATAGCTGGAGAACTGCCTTAAAGGTATGTGTGTGTGTGTGTGTGTGTCCTCTGGCAGAAGTTAGTGAAGGGCCCAAGATGGATTCTGACAGAGGTGATCTTTTATAAAGGGATAAGTACTGCGTATACTCAACAGTCTACAAGTTGCCACATAAACATACAGATGTGATGAATGCTTACTGTTCTCCATATGTCATTGTGTACCTCAATTATTGAATGACAGATTTCATTTGTAGTCCAATTAATAGGAAAGTTAGGCCCCTTGGGGCCTAGATTATACTTGAGAAAAATTCATCATGCTAGAAAATTTGCAAAAACATTCACCATAATTTTTGCCTGGAGTATAGGCAAGAATTTTCATGTTTGGAAATGTGTCAGCTAATCAAGTCTCACCTTTAATTACCTTGATGCAATTCATCAAGATCTGAAAATATGTTTTCAAACATGACTTATTCATGGTTTTGCTGGGAACCAAGTCATATTCAGCATCCTGTTAGTTGTCAGACTTCTTTTTTTTAAAATGCACCAAGCAGAAACATGTTTGAAAACCCATGAAATAAAAATTGAACTTAATGTGTTTTCTAAATAGCTTCTGGAAGAAGGTTTCTCTTCTTTTCTAATGTACTTAGCAGCAAAACCAGCCTCAATTTATCACATAATGATTTGTTTTCTTTGCGTATTTGACAGATGTTCAGTTGATTTGACTTGGAAGGGGCTGTTTTGGGATTTTTTTGGCTTATGTACATTTAAAATGTGCTCAAAATGGGCTACAAGAAACAGACGTAGAAAAGCAAATAACTTTATATTGAAATTATTCAGTAGACATTGAACTGCATCTTATTTGAAGTTTGGATTATAGTTATTAAATAATGAGGTTTTCAATGATGCTTTAATTTACTTTTATATTTCT